TGGACTACCACCACTTGACCACTTGCCTCTGCTGAACACAGGCCAACTCCGAAAGGCCAGTTCTAGAAACCTCTACGTTGGCCCTTCGGTACTGTCGCAGCTACAACTTTGCCCTTTCAGGTAAGTAGCAGCTACGACCTTGACTCCTCAAGCAGCCTACAGCTAYCACTTTGGAACTGTCTAGACTCCTAATCCATAGGTCTACAGTTCGATTCCCTTCTACCCTGTGACCTACGACAAATTGCCTACCACTGGCGTTCCTACAGGTCGCAGGTTCAAGTCTACGGGTTGACACTGATACTGTACACAGGTAAGACGGGGATCTAGGGATCGAGCCCTGGGATTTGCATTCGCTACCGCGAAGTGGTGAATATCGTTTCACTCCGCCGGCCTAAATTCGAGGTCCTCCGAGAAAATTTCAGTCCAAGGCAGGACCTTTACCTTTCTGCTGTCTTTCGTAAGCCCGGATTATATCGGGAGTTGTCTCTAGAAGCTCAGATCTTGTAAACCAGCGGTCGTCTTCCCGTTCCTGATAACTAAAATGAACCTTGTATTGTTTCTGCGGACGACCCCTACCTCCAGTTCTGAAGACATCTTCAGCCACTATACCATCTATGTCATATCTTCCATCCATATCAGGTGGGATCATCGATCTACGGGATGGAAACTGATCACTTGTTTGACAAGGTAGCAACTTCGATGCGTGGAAAACTGGATATGTGTGGAGGTGTGCTGGTAGTTCTATTGTGTAGGACGGTCCATCTTCGCCGCCCTTGACTTCCAGAACAGGCCACGGTCCTCTATATGTGGGCTTTTCTGAGGTTCTCTACGACAGTAGCTAGTTCTTTCTCGTGCTGCACAGCAAACTCCCTGGTCCCGGGTGGTAATCTGTGAATCTGATCCCGGTTGAGTCCCTCAAACGGTCTGCGTGGTCTAAAGGACTTGTGCAGTTCGTTGGGAGTGCGACATGTAGACAGATGCACGCTGTTATTGTACGCACTAGCTACTTTGGGCAACATCTCATCCCAGTTAATCTGGTCTGGTCTAATGTACATGCGCAGAACTTGCTGTAGGATCTTGTTCATCTGCTCGGTCTGACCGTTAGTCTCTGAATGACGGTCGGACGACATCAACAACTTAGATCCATATACTCCCATGAGTTCTTGCCAGTTCCGGCTGGTGAAGCGACTATCTCTATCGCTATCTATCGACAGCGGGATTCCATTCTCACTAACCCGACAGTAAAAAAAACTCTGTATGACTAAATCAGTATGCGCCTCGGAAGGCAAAGGAACAAAAACTGCGTACTTACTAAAACGGTCAACTATGACCATGACTTGGCTCTTGTCGTGCCTACTCTTGACTTGAGTGTCCATAAAGTCTATGGACACTGAGTCTCCCGGCTGATCCGGAATGGGCAAGGGTCTGAGAAGACCTAGCGGGGCGCGCGTAGAACTCTTATTACGCTAGCAGACTTTGCAACTGCGAACATACTCTACGCAGTCATTCTTCATCCCTGGCCAGGTATACGCGCGCATCAGATTGGCCAAAGTCTTTTGCCAACCGAAATGACCCTCTGTGTCGTGACATTCCCCCAGAATCAGACTACGGATCTCTTTGCTATTGGGGATGCACAGCCGGTCAAAGACATTAGTCTTCTCGAAGAGTAACCCTCCAGTAGTGCGGTAGCTCGGCTCGGTCTCTGGGGCCTTCTTGACTCGCGTGAGGAGCTCACTATAGATAGGGTCCTGCGCGTAGGCTTCTCTAACCTTCTGCTGCAGATCCTTTCCTATATCGAGGTAATGTACTATTGCCCCAAAGTAATCTGCTCTCCTACTCAGAGCATCCGCAACTACGTTGTACTTCCCTTTGACAGGCTTGAGCTCAAAGTCGTACTGATCTATCTCTGCGGCCCACCTAGTAAGCTTAGGTGTCATCTTGGCCTGCGTCTTTAACCATCGTAATGTTTCATGGTCAGAATAGACTTTGAAGTGCCTCCCAAGCAAGTAGTGCTTCCAGTGGTCTAATGCTTGCCTGAGAGCGTAGAGTTCCCTCTCATAGGTAGATGTTGCAACCTTCTCTGAAGGCATTCTGGCGGACATGAACTTTACGGGTCTATACCCATTGCCATTGTCTTGCTGTAACACCGCGCCTATGCCGTACTGGCTAGCATCTATAGTAACGACAAAAGGCAAGGACGGATCGGCGACCTTAAGGACCGGATACTCTATCAATGCCTGCTTTAATTTTTTCATCGCAGACGTGCAATCCTTGTCCCACTTCCAGATTGTCTCTTTTCTCAGCAATCTGCGGAGGGGCGGAGCGATGGTGGAGAAGTTCCTCACGAACTTCCTATAGTAATTAGCTAGGCCCAGGAACGAGCGCAACTCTGTCAGCGTACGTGGTGTGGGCCAATCTCTAATCGCTGCGATCTTGCTATCCTCTGGCTTAACGCCGTCTCCGTCTAAGACGTGGCCTAAATACAAAACTTGGGTCTTGGCCCAATCGCACTTCTTTGCATTGATCTTGAAGTTAGCTTCCCTCAGCTTCTCCAAGACCTGCCTGAGATGACCCTGATGCTCTTCGAGGGTCCTACTAAACACTAAAATGTCATCCAAGTAAACTACAACAAATCTATCCAACCACGGCCTAAACAAATCGTTCATACAGCGCTGGAACGTAGCTGGCGCATTGGTTAGTCCAAAGGGCATCACTATAAACTCATAATGCCCATACCTAGTCCGGAAGGCTGTTTTATACTGATCATCAGGATGTACCTCTATTTGATGATATCCGGACTTTAAATCTATCTCGGAGAAATACTTGGCCCCCTGCACTCGATCTAAAAGATCGTCTATCCCTGGAAGTGGCTCAACATTCTTCACTATAATCGCATTCAGACCCCTACAATCTATGCACATGCTCAGCTCTCCCTCTTTCTTAGGAACAAAGAGGACAGGTGCCCCGAAAGGAGACGAACTGGGCCTAATCCAACCCTTCTCGAGGAGCTCGTGTAACTGCTTGCGAAGTTCCTTTAACTCCCGTGGAGACATCCTGTACACGGTGCCCTTAGGAGTTCTACTGCCAGGCTCTATCTCAATGCGGTGCTGGATGGGCCGCGGTACTACTCCTATCGGCGGCTCGGTTAGATCCTTGAACTCTTCCAGCAGCCTGGCAATCGCAGGGTCCATCGGCTTCTCCTCCGTAGGCTMAGTGATTGGCCTAACATAGGCAACAAAGACCTGTTCCTCTAGTTTCTCCTTCTTCACCAATCTGACGAATGCGGGGGCACTAAGGCAGCAATGCGGCAAGGAATTCTCTACTCCTGACACATGAAACAGGCGGGCAATCTTAGCCTCGGCTGCAGAACTAGGGAGCCTACACTCATGCTCCTTCAGATGGAGCGTTGCCCCGGCTGCCTCCCCCCAATCCATTCCCAACACAATATCAAAGGGGAGGCTGTCTTCTACGAGGAGAGTCAGTGAGTGGAGAATCTTTTCCACTTTCCCATCTTTCTCTAGGTGGAAATACGTCTGGACACCGGCCTGCAACCTCTGCTGTAGGCACATGTGGTGTGGGAGTCTCCTGCCGGTTAGCGCTATGTTCCCCACATGGCCTAGCGGTAGGGGCAGTTGCTACCCCTATCGGCGGCTGCCTTTTGGCCCTTGGGCAGCCGTTCGGGTCTCTCTATACTTGGGACAATATTTGATGATATGGCCCGGGTCACTGCAGAAAATGCACTGACCCCGGTCCAATCGTTTTTGCCATAAGTCCTAGTCCAGACCCAAAGATTCCCAAGGCCTACCCTGAGGTAGCCCTGGGTGCCATCCTCCTACTCTATAGGGAGACCTATTCCTAGGACGGTTTTGCGAGGGACCTTGACCCCTGCCTCCCGCTTGGCGGTTTCCTCCTCTGCCGCCAACCCCCTGATCGCCCTGGAACCGGTTCCCTGAGGCCCGGCCCCCTTGGCCCTGGCCTCTTCCTCCTTGCGGCCTCCCTCCAGCCGCGACAGCAACGTAGGATCTCCCCTGGCCCACACCGCTGTCCTCCTCCTCTAGCCCCCACTCAATCTGATCGTAGTGGATCTCATCCACACTACCTTCATCTAAAGTTAGGACAAGGCTGTTCTTAGTCCTTACCTGCCCTGAGATAGTGCGGCCTTTCCATTGCTTTCCCCTGTCCAAGTCCTTGTGCCAGAAGGTAGACAGGGACACGGACTTCCCCGACCTACTTCTGTGTCACTTCTGCCCACCCATTCTTCCCCACAGCCGGTCAGCACCTCTCTCCCGCTTTCTCTAAGCCACAATGAGGTACCCTTTGGTCATTTGCAGGAGCGTCCAGCTCACAGCAGCGACTTTTCCTTAAAGCGATCGGAGGCATTGCAGCCAAAAGTGCCCGGTAGAGACCGGAGGGAGTGGAATGCGCCGACCGCTGTTGTGCATTGTGGAGCCTAAATGATCTTACTGCGCTATGGCGAGGACACTGCTCGCGCTGTGCCACTAGTGCATGAGGCAGTACCTTTACTGTTTCTTAATTTGCAGACATTGTCTGCTCGATATAATTGAGTTCGAGTACAGCACATCCCGTTGCAGGCGACAGAGTAGCACCGATCCAGGTTGATACCTTTGTGTGTGTGTGTGGTCGAGGCTGTGCAGTGTGCATTCTGTGCTCGAGTGTTCTCTGTGTGTGGGGGGGGGTTCACTTCAGCGACAGGAAGCTGAACTCGGTGCGTCCAGCCTCCTGGCGGACATCCTCCCCTCGCACCGTCTGCGACTCCCCTCACAACCTTTGTGTGTGTGGGGGGGGGGCGGGGGGGGAGGGGAGGGACGCGGCAGAAATTGGAGCAGTGTAATGTCTGCCCAGAAGACAACTGTGCTGCAGCTTGCATGGGTGTGAAAGTCTTGTCTATGGCGTTCATGTGAGGGCGTCGGATCATACGCCTTAACGCGGATTCGGGTAGCCATTCGTATATTCTATGTCGTCTCGTCTGGCCCACATCAGCAGCACAACCTTCACAACCACTCATGGACACTGTGGATACTCGCAGAAGCACTACTCACACACCGTCCGTCACATTTCTCCCTGCTATCATTACCAAGCTAGGTCCCAGCCAGATTGCTTCAACCATGAGCTGTTGCAGTACAGACCTCTGTTCCAATCCCCCATCCAACTGAGATGATTTAATAACTTGGAAAAAAAAAAAAAAAAAAAAAAAAAGGAAACTTGGAATTTACGCTGACTGGGCTGGTCAGTTTGAAGATGATATCTCAACTTCTCAAGGCTATCGCCCTTTCGAACAAAAATAAGAGGAAGGGGGAAAAAATAAAAGCCAAGTCCCAGCCAGATTGACTGGTTAATAGGGGGGAGGGGGGGGGCATACGTGGAAGAAGCAGGATGTCAATTACTGTCCCCTCCGGAAGGCAATTTGTCCCCGACCCTCATCCCTCCCCTACGCCTAATCGAGCTGCAATACCGGCCTGTGCTGATCAGGTAGATTGCGTCGGTGCTCGTGATTGAGCCCCATCGTCAGACGACCACCCTAGGTCACCCACCGGCCGCCCGGGTCACGGTGTTTTCCTCGGTGGCGCGGCAGTGCAAGGACCAAGGGAGGTCTCAGCAAAAGTATGTTATGCAGAAAAATAAATTCAAGTTATTCAACAGCTTTTGCCTCAAGCTCACATCGAAATTCTTTACCTCTTTTTTTTTTTTTTTTTTTTTTTTTTGGTCCGGCCAGGCAAGTCGTCCCGGGCCATTCTTGTAGCCTAGCAACCATCCCTTTTTTTTTTTTTTTTTCTCCCAAAAAGGCAGCCTTATCCCTGTGTCATGCCAGTCTGCAAACATGCAGATGCAGATTGCCAGATACAGTCCAGCTACCATGTGCACAGCATACGCTCTGCTCTCCGGCGACTTCACGAGCGCCATGTTTGAATTCGGTGTGGGACCACTCTCTAAGCCTAAGCTTCCCTTCTTAAGCCTAAGCATTTCTCTGTCAGCAATAGTGTACAAGTACCGTGCCAGGCCGCGCTTCCTGAATTGTGCCTGTCTTTCCTTCTGTCTGGCTGAAGGTTCCCCCTCCCCCCTGAGCGTCTGGCCGACGGACCCCTTCGCAGCTGCGTTGCTTGCTCCAGCAGTGTGGAGGATTCACTGTGAGCTTGTTGCCTTACATCTACCTCTCCTCTCAGGTCCAGTTGTCTAAACCTTTCTCATACATATATATATATATATATATGGGGTTCAGCCTCCTGATGAGTCGGTGAAACTCCGATATATATAGGGTTCAGCCTCCTGATGAGTCGGTGAAACTCCGACGAAACAGTTTGCCCACAGCCCCTCGTTTGTCCTCTTCTCCCTCTCTGCCTACGGTTTACCGTGCAGCTCTGTTTGACTATATATATATATATACAGTTTGCCACAGCCCCTCGTTTGTTGTCCTCTTCTCTCTCTCTGCCTACGGTTTACCGGGCAGTTCTGTTTGTGACGATATATACGATATATATTTGTGACGATATATATACGATATATATATATTCTATTTGTGACGATATATATGTGACAATATATATATATATATATGCCGTTTTTTTGTTTTTCTTCTTTGTTTCGCAAAGTGCGCTCTTTTAGTTTGTAGTTATGTGACAATATATATATAGCCTCCTGATGAGTCGGTGAAACTCCGACGAAACAGTTTGTCACAGCCCCTCGTTTGTTGTCCTCTTCTCTCTCTCTGCCTAC